CCATGCCTGGCTAATTTTTTTTTTTTTGTAGAGACAAGGTCTCACTATGTTATTCAGGTTAGTCTTGAACGCTTGGCCTCAGGCAATCCTCCTCCTTTGACTTCTCAAAGTGCTGGGATTACGGCAGGAAACACTGTGTCCGGCCCTTAAAATAGTTTCTAATAAAGCATTTCAGAGGGTGGGGAGAAACAGACAGTTTGCACTTAGGGACCATCCCAAGTAAATTTTCCCACCTTTTCCCATTTTTATTCATAGTACAGATGGTTAGAAAAGAGAGTGGTGCCGGGCTCGGTGGCTCAGCCTGTAATCCCGTGCCTTGGGAGGCTGAGGAGAGTGGATTGCCTGAGCGCAGGTTCGAGACCCGCCCGGGCAACTTGGTGAGACCTCACCGGCCTGGGCAACTTGGTGAGACCTCATCTCTACGATAAATCAAAACACTAGCTGGGCATGGTAGCACACACCTGTAGTTCCAGCTACATGGAAGGCTGAGGCGGAAGGATCGCCAGAGCCCAGCAGGTCTAGGCTGCAGTGGCCGAGAGCGGCCACTGCACTCCAGTCTGGCGACAGAGTGAGACTCCAACTCAAAAAAAAAAGAAAAGAGAGTGGTAATGCGGAAAACAGTTGATGTTAGAGAAATAACAATGTACTCAGGCACAACTAACTGAAGGACAAGTCTACAGTTTTTGAAACAGTATTATGTCACTTCTAAGAGTACAGATGGTGAGACATCAATAACTAAAACCTATGGTTTTAAGAAAGAATTATTTTGCTATTACTGTGCTTTTTCATTTATTTTGTGTTTATTTTGTATCCTTTCCAATGGACCTAAACCAGAAAACGTATCTAGGGATGTTTAGGGACATGTTAAAATAGCAATTACAGAAGAAAATGTTATGTAGTCCCCTCTGCTTAGTACACAGACTATCTTAAGAACCATCCCTCTTCATCCAATAATTAATGTTTATCTGTAAATGAGTATATTGATCTTAAGGGGTAGTATAATAACAGAAATAATTATGGAGAAAATAAGCCAAAGCCCTACACAATTTGAAGGCATCATTAGAGGACTAATAAGGAAAACAAAAGGACTGCGAGTAAAAAGAAGCCAAAAAAATAAAAAATTTATTTTTACAAAAACAAAAATAAATTTTAATCCCCCAAGAAACCAAATTAGACCATTTCTTGAACATTACTGTTTTTGCAGCATATAAACTGCAAAATACCCTCTGCATCTCTTTAAGAAATGAGACAATTTTTTTTTTTTTGAGAAACTTGCCCATGGCAGGTCTTCCTGTCATGAATCTTGCTTTTTCCTCCTCTTCTTCTTGCTAATAAACTGTTTCAAAACTTGAAAAAGAAAGACAGAAACACCTGCCTTTCTTCGGTGACAAATTTCTTGGAGGGCAGGATCTAGAACTTGACATTCTCTCCAAAGATCCCAGCAGAAATGACCGACTTCTAAGAATATCCTAAGAGAATAATTTAAAACATGGAAAATGTTTAAAGTCTTATTTAGAATATTAAAAATTGGAAGCAATCTAAAGGTCTCACAGTGGAAGAATATTTTTATAACATGAACATCCATGTGACATCCAGCAATTTGAATGCTAAGTATAAAAAGACTAAACGGGCCGGGCTCGGTGGCTCAGCCTGTAATCACGCGCTTTGGGAGCCCGCGGGTTTAATAACCTCCTGGGCAAGTTGGCAAGACCTCATCTCTACAATAAATCAAAAAAAATTAGC